TCTATCTATCTATCTATCTATCTATCTATCTATCTATCTATCACAATGTTGCCAACCCCAAATGTTCAAGAATTGTGAATCTGGCACCAAAATAATTAATTCTTTTTACTTGCCTTCTGGTTTTTAAGCCTTTTGGGGGTTCACTGAGGTCACATTTTTGAGCTTTTCTTCACAGTCATGAAGGGCAGAAACTTATTTTTTTTTTAATGGAGGCTGAGAGTCTCGTGTGTTGGGATTCGCTCCAAGACCTGTTCCATTCAGCTTATCCCGAACAGCTTGTCCAGTTCTGGGAGGACACTTCATCCAGTTCTCTGGAACCCAAAACAGTCAGTCCGACTCTGTATTTTGTCACTCGGGTCCTTTATTTGGCATACAACAAAGCTATGCTGAATGATCGGACTTAACCGTAGGGGGTGGTGGGTATAAGGTGTACCACACATCCAAAGTTACACAGACAACCTCTTCCTTTATATACATTTACACATTACATAGCAATTGTTATATATTACACCACACTATTTTTTTTATTGGATTGGTCACTTTGCAGGAGCCAATCCCTGTACAGCATGGATATTAGGAAAAACTATTTCACTAGGAGGGTGGTGAAGCACTGGAATGGGTTCCGTAGGGAGGTGGTGGAATCTCCTTCCTTAGAGGTTTTTAAGGTCAGGCTTGACAAAGCCCTGGCTGGGATGATTTAGTTGGGGTTGGTCCTGCTTTGAGCAGGGGTTGGACTAGATACCTCCTGAGGTCCCTTCCAACCCTGATAGTCTATTCTATGATTCTGTGCTCTGTTCATGTGCTGTTCACATTGAACCTGATCTTTACCTTCCAGGTTTATCTTGTCCATAGTTCCTAGCAGCAAGGTGTTGCTGCTTATCTTAAATAGCACAGACATCCTGACTCCAGCATGCTGTTTGTCCAGCCCCTATTTACAACTTAACCTTCCATTTGCCTTCCCAATTATGCCCTCTAAGAAATGAGGCAAATTTCTTACGACAAGCCCGGCCTACATCATGCCATCGCCTGACTCCAGGAGCTGGGGCTGTAAGTAAAAAAATCAGTTATTGGGAGACTCACAATAAAGCCACGAGAGATGGCAACGTTGTCAACATGGGAATCTGACACTGGATCTGTGAATGGGGGTACTGGTTCCCTGGGAACCCCACAAAGAGTTATTCTGTGACTGGTGCAACAGGAGAATGAGACATTCCCTGATCAAAATACATTACTGAGCAGTTGGGAGGGGAACGGGGCAGAACTGCAGTATGTGTGTGCCCTGAACCTCTGCATGGGAAAAGCGGCACTGC